GAAGGGAAAATAAATCCTTCCATTTCCCTTCCTTCCCCTATCAAGAGGTATCCAAAGAAGAGAGGATGATTCCCTTCTTTTTTCTTCTCTTCCTTTCCCTCCAGTTCTCAATTCAAAAAAATATGTTAGTGTGTTAGTGTCATGATAACTACCAATTACTCCTTTTTTTTTTGTTTGTTTGTTTGCAGACATGTACATACATGTACCATGATAATTTTGTAAATAATATCTTTTTCACTTGACATACATATAATTCTAATAATAAGTAGATAATATAATTTTACAATGGTATACATAAATATAGAAATGGTACATTATATACTACAGTACGAAGTATATACTAAAACGAGACCTAATAGCTAATACTGATTAAAATAAATTAGATAAATAAATAAAAGTATCTTGTGTGACTTTTTTCTTCTACATACTTTATTCATTATTTTTTTTTTATATAAGATGAGGAAAATTTCCTTGTAAGTAAGGGCGAAATTAGGGATTCCACATGTTTAGGGGTGAGAATCGAACCCCTCACATAAGGACGGAAGGAGGGCCTCCAACCACTAGGTCAACCTTTGTTCTCTTATTCATTTTTTACTTACACTCATTCAATTCTTCCTAAATACGAAGTACAGGATTTTAACCTTGTCCACATACGAGAATAATTTAAAAACTTAAAAGTTTCACGTACGGAGTAAAACAAAGTATTATTGCAAATTAATCTCATACAACATTCATTTTAACCTTGTCCACATCCGTGAATACGTGACTATTAACCTTTGCTAATAAAATCATAACTAAATACGATCATGGGAGTAATCCACTAAGAAAATCAAATGGAAAACGAAATCTATAACAAATAAAGTCAAGTTTAATGTAATTGTAACGGCAAAAGAAGATTAAAAATAGGAAAGCATCATTTCACTTGAAACCCATGAAAAGTAGTCGTACACTCGTACTTGATATTCCTCTACTTACGCACCCAAAAAGTCTAGTTCAATGCCTAACTTACATTCAAAGTCACGGATATTGACAGACATCTCAAAACTGATCTCTCTTATTTTTCCAACTTTGCGTGCATTATGAAAAAATTAACCACTAAAAATAATTCTTCATTAAAAACCCATATTATATTTGGATTTTAACATTTGACTAAGGATTATGGAGTACTTTACGTGTGAGAAGAAGCTTCCTTCTCATTCAATCCAAATCCCAAACACATTACCACTATTTTTGTATGATTATAAATTATTATTGACTCGAGTTCTAGATAGAAGCAAATTGAAATTGAATTTTTCTAACATATAATTATTATTTTAGTTAACCAGTCAATCATAAATTTAATACAATCTACTCCGTATTAGATTATGTAATTGGCATTCTTTAACACTTCTGTGTTAGTGAAGTAAGTAAACTCAAGCCTTATAAATCTTGCATCATCCAATCACCTTTTTTTTTTGTGGGAAGGATAACAAATTATTTGTAGAGTTAGTATATTCTATTATTTTCTCTGTTTCCTTTGTTTATCTGATTTGAAATCTTTATTTTGACGGAATATAATTTGAAAAAACAATGAAGAATTTTTTACGAATTTAAGTTTTGTAGATTTACAAATTCGTAATTTTTTTTCTTTTCAAAATGAGTAGTTGAAAATATTGAGCAAAACCCAGTTAATATCCTATATTAACAAAAACATGTTTATATCACCAGTTTTTCTCTCTTCTCCCCTCACATGGACATTATTTCCTTCTCTCTCATCCATTCCCATGACCACTAAGGAAACAAATTACTCCATCCGTCCCTTATTTTTTGCCCCATTGTAAATATATGGGTCAAACTTTGACCGTGAATACTCGTTAATCTATACGTGATTATATGTTCATGTGAGATCTTGCTAGCAACGTCTCATTGTATATTTTATTAATATCAAGTTTTTATAATTTTTACGCGTATAAAAATGGAGATATATGCGTTTGAACACGCATATTAGAGACCGTGAAAAGTCAAATGGGGCAAAAAATAAGGAACAGAGGGAGTATTTGTTTTAGAGGAAAACCTCTTTGTTCCACATTGGTGGGATAAGGAAGGTTTTACTTGTTTTATATATTGGAAGACAAGAGTTTTGTCCCACATTGGTGGAGGAGGAAAGTTTTACTTGGTTTTTATATAAGGGTTTAAGGTTAGTTGTTTGAAGTGTTTTTCCTATTTTTATTGGCTAGAAGGGGGCATCCCTACGCGCGCACTACTGTCACCGTCTGGCTAGTTCGGTTCGCGGAAAACCGAGTTTTAACGTTCCCAGATTTTCGCCCTCTATCTTTATTGCTCCTTGATTCTTCTCCAGTAGTTGCGTTTGGTGAAGCTTTTAAAAATCGAGTTTTCAATCAGTTTTTTTACACACTGAAAAACTCTCTTCTTCTTCCTCTTAAAATCAGTTTTCCTCTAAATTAGTTCTGAGCATATTGTGAGTTCCTAATCTCTCGTTTTGAGTGCACATTAAGAGGGATCGTTGTGTTAAATCTTTGGGGGCAACGCCATCTCCGATTGCACCATAGTCGGGGCGAATTTTGCTTCTTAAGACAGTGTTCTTAACACGTCACAGCGTTATTCATACATTTCAATCTTGATGATTTTCTAATTTTTATAGTATCTCTACCTACATTTCCTTTTTTCTCCTCCCCTCCCATGGCCATGTCCAAGATCGACCACCTTCACGGCTCTAAATTGGCAGGCCGATAGGCCGACCAAAGAAAAGACACCCTAGTAGCAAATTATGTAAATTGGACCCATACTAACCACTTAGGGAAATGAATTTGCTCGTGCTGGTGCTGCGGTCGAATGGTGGTGTTAATGGTTAGGTCGGTTGGTGGTTCTAGTGATTGTGCGGTGGTCGGCTGGTGAAGCTAATGATCGTGCGGTGGTGCGGCATGTGGTACTAGTGATTGTGCGGTGGTGATAGAAGGGAGAGAAAGGGGTGTGGCTGCTAAATTTACAAACTTACCCTTAATATTAACAACTTTTGTTAATATAGGATATTAACTTGTATTTTCTCGAAAATATTGATGTTTGAATATATACAGGAAGTACAAAAGTAAAAACGAGACAAATAAAAAGAAACGGAGAGAGTAACTTATAGGTTATTTTTCGTTCCAAATTTCACCAAATTTTTTTTACGAATACATAAAACAAATATTACTTCATGAGATGTTTTTAAATTCGTCTTAATGTATATTGTTAATGTAAACATATCATAATTTTACTATTATTAAAGAAAATTAGAGATATTTGGGGTCACACTTGTGCATTGGAAATAAGGTGAATTGAACCGGGCTTGAGTAGTATGCAAAGGTAAATAGATAAATACTCCGTAATCCTAACTTGATGTCAATTGCTAGTAAAACTCTTGAGAATAACGCAAAGTAGACTCAAGTCAAATAATCAATAGTCCAAACTTGATATCACATAGAAAATTAAAATTTATCTTTGGTCTTGCAAATAGGGTCATCCGCAAATAAAGGCTTGAATTACAGCAACTCCAAGCAAACTCTTGACCAGCAACACAATAGCAAGCAACCTGATCTAGAATTTACAAATTAAATGGTAAAACGTGATTCAATATACCAAACAAAATCTGAACTAATAATCTAGCACTCTGTATCTCATTTCATCTGCTAACATACGGAATATTTGTGCAAAATGGTATGACGTTCACAATCCTAGTAACTTTTAGAGAGAAAATACAGATCCAACACATCTCTCCTACAGAAAAGCATGTCAATGGGAAGAGCACATCAGAGTATCAACTTCAGCTTCAGCTACAGATGCATAGACTCGTCTTTGTGATGTCACCCTTTGCTCTTCGTACATGGTTCTTTAATGCTCCTATGCCAAACTACAAGCGTTAATTTCACCAATGAGAATGCAATCACTGCAACATCCAATGGTAACACTGTCAATTACATGCTGAGGAAATGTAAGAGATCAGGAATTTCATGATATTATTTTACTGTCAACTTCCTGCTTAAAACATGAAATATGTGATTACAATGATATTTCCAACGCTCATTTAAAATTTACATAAAGTATAAGTTTGTTAGAAATGTAGTAGCCAAAAGAAAAAGTAACCTAACTTCCCAAGAACTAAGCAACAAACACTAATTCAAACTAAAGCATATTCGTATATTTAATGATCAGATACATTCACTTAGATGAAAGGAGTGCTGACATGAAGAAAGTGGGTATGCAAGAGCATGATTGGACACAAGCGGGCGAAGGAAAGCGATATGTGGATGAACACAGGAAATATAGATTATCAGATTATGCAATTGAACAATTCCTTCTGGAAAAAAGACTTTGGTTTAACAGTAGTTGTTGTGATCAAGCTCATTTACTTTAGCTATGCATTAACCAAAATATAAGAAAATCAAAATGAAACTTATTTCCTGTTCATAATTATCAACACCTCAAATTAAAACACAATTCATATTGAAATAGAGAAGACAAGCTGTAAAACACAGTTGCTGGACAAACGATGATGATCAAAAGAGATGTACAGATTATATTTTCATTTAAAACAAGAGTTGAATGGAACCAATCAACATTCTTTCTCAGGAGCAAAAGATCAAAATTAAACTAGTAATTTGATGGAACCAATCAACATTCTGGAAAGCAAAAATCCCACAATGGGTACTAATTTTGCAAAAGCATTCGAGCACTAATTTGATTAATCAAATTCAATTGTCAACCCTAGAAGAGGTATAGAGGCAGATAATTACCAGTTGCTTCAGATGCTAGAGGAGGGTGCTCAGAGACCATAGCCGTGTAATTTAAGCTTCAATGGAGATCTTTCTAACAGAGCAATTACCTGACAGAACAAGGAAAAAGGGGAGGAGGATAATATTTCTGACAATATTATTACTCCATACTAAAAAGAATTAACAATCTCGATTTCATGAGAACATATCTGTTAGTTGTTACTCAAAAATTTGCAAACAGAAGACAGAGAGAGAGAGAAAATGAAAGAAAATATGTATTAAGTGTGGGTTTAGAGAACATATACACCATCTACAGGAGTACAACACAAGTCTGTAACAAACTAAGGCCAAGGCAATGTACAAAACTGAGCATATACATTTTTTTTGTGGTGATCAAGATTTATTTGTCAGTCATCTCATTGATGATTCTAGCAGCATCACTGAGTCTTTTAGCTGATTTATATGAGTTAGAAACAACAAGATGCAATTCCTTCTTGTTTATGTTTGGGTCGGAATTCAGCGTCTCAAAAAGTAATTCCACAGTCTCAAAGTCACCTCTTGCACCATACAGACTCAACATTTGGAAATGAACTTCACTGGGGAAAATACAGCCCTCTTCTCGCATCTCCCGATAGACTAAATCAGCCCTTTCAAAATCCCTGACTTTTCCATAAGCATTCAAGGCAAGAGCGATGACATTTGAATTGGGGAAGTATCTAATTGCTCTCATCTTTTCAAACACCTCTATGACATTTGAATATTTCCTGTTTCTCGAATACAGTTCTATCATACACTCAAATACAGAGATATCCTTCACTTCACCGGCATCAAATGCCTGTCGAAAGACCCATGTGGCTTCTTCAATCCTTCCAGCACTGCAAAGAATAGTTATTGCAGTATCTCGTGGGATATTGTCTGGACACTTAAGCTCATGGAGCAGCCGTTTTGCATGAGCAACTAATCCTGCTCTCTCATAAGCCACTATCATAGTCTGATACAGAACCTGGTCAATTTCAACACCAGAACTCCTAAGCTTTTGAAACAACTTGGCAGCACGATCCAATTTCCCAGCCCTACTCCATATAGATATTATGGTTGAATATGTAATTGCATTTGGCTGAATCCCACTTTTTTGCATCTCTTGAACCAAATTTCCAGCTTTCTCGTGCTCAAGGGATTTGCCATATATTTTTATCATGGTATTGTAGGTAACAACATTCTGTTCAATATTTTTTTTCTGCATCAAGCGGAAAAGATGTATAGCTTCACCAAAAAGCTCGGCTTCTCCATACACTCTCAAAAGTGTATTATAACTAACAACATTAGGTTCAATGCCCATCTTTCTCATGCTCCAGAAAAGCTGATCAGCTTCCTTGGCCATATCAAGCTGTCCATAAACATCTATCATAATGTTGCAGGTAGTGAGGTCAAGAACACATTTAGCCTCACTCATCTCAGAAAACACAGACAATGCCTCGACAAACTTATGATTCTCCACATGCATATTCAAAAGTGTCGAGTAACTAACTGTATCTGGTTTTACTCCATTTTCTTTCATTTCTTTCAAAAGATCCTGAGCCTCACAAAACAACTTAGCTTTCCCAAACACATTAATCATTGTATTGTAAGCCACAAGGTCAGGCCTAATACCGGACCTCTTCAACCTTGAAAACAAAGAAATTGCTTTGGAATAATCACTCAATTTACGAGACAACTCAATCAAGTTACTGTACAAAACAAGATCACCAGACACGCGATCCTGCTCCATCTTCTGTAGCCAAGAAAGTGCAGAATCAAACAAGCCCTCTTTCCCAAATTGGGTAATAAGCATCGAGTAAGTAAACCTATCAGGGGCCAATGCTCTCTGTCGCATTTCGTCAAACAGGCCATGTGCAACCTCCCATTGCTTTGCCCGAAGCACATTACGGATAACAACATTGTAAACAAACACTGATGGAGAATATAAAGCAACATCATTTATCCAATCAAGCAATGCAATTGACCGTTGCCAATCTGATTCCCGAGAAAGAAGAGAAACCATAAACCGAACAGATAGTTGCCTGCCTTTATAAGGTGACAAAAGAGCAAACAACTCTCCCTCATCTGCAGTTTGCGAAATGGATTTCAACAAATCATCCATGTCTACGCTGTGGTCTAAGAAAGTGTTTCTTTGTGGTTGCTTTTGGCGGTATGTTTGTGGTGGTTGCTGTGAAAAAGAAGTAGATGATGGCGAAGGGGCTGCCTCTGACAGTAACCTGGTCCAAACATCTTTGGTTGAAGATAATGAGGTTCGTGTGAGACTACATCGAGTTCTATGTCCATGAATGATGTTCTTAAAAGTGGAAATTCGTTGAGTGTGTGCAATTGCAAGAACACCTCCATCCACCATCAACAAAGTACTATCAAGCATCCTACATAAACTAAACAAACCCATTTTAGAGATCTTATTAACAGATTAGAGCTAGACAACCATACATTACGACAAATCCGCTCCCTTACTTCACAATAATCCATTTTTTCCAAGAAAATGAAAAGGGAACTCATACTCTATATTTGATTTATTTAGGCACACAAGCCCGTCTCCAAGGAAAGGGCAAGAGGGAAGCTGCCGAAAAGTTTCAAATTCATACTTCCACCCTAACATTGAGGAATATAAGCGAAAGCTTACAACACATTATCGACCAAATTTGAGTCAATTATAAAATTAAGCTCTAATTTCACATAAATTTTTTCTCGCTTAAGAATATTAACAATATTGTTCGCTATAATCTATCTTCAACTTCAGTAATAATAACCAATAGTTTAATAATCTACTTTAGAAGAACCCTAAATTGACTATACTGACAAAGTGACCATTCAATTAAGGATAACCCTATTGTGAAATTGAAATTCAATGAATAAAAACAAACAAATAGAAAAAAGAAAAAAAAAAAAAAAAAAAACAGCTTACCTCAGAAGGTACTTCAATGGTGGAGAGCTGCTTCAATGGAAGAAAGGAAGGTCAGAATATGCTTCAATGAAGGAGGGGTAGAGAAAGAGTTGCTGCGTAAAAGTGAGTTGTTCACGGTCCAAAATCGGAAATTTAAAATTTAGTACCCAGATGGCCAGAGATTGGACCAGTTGTGACTAGGGGTGTCAAAAAAAACCCGATCTGATTGACCTGACCTGATAATCCACTGACCCGAACAATATCCGACGGATAATTTGAGACTTTTTTTTAATTTTTTGGGCTGGGTGCCCGGCCCGTGAAAGTATTCAGGTAATGGGTCGGGTCATGGGGCTGAGCTTTGAATGACTCAAGTACCTGTATGACCCAGTAGTTTTTTTTTATTATTTTTTTTTATTTTTTTGCTAGGTTAATGACAAAAAGAGGGGTTGTTTGATAAGTAGCTTTTTGATTGCTTTTTGTATACTTTTTGACTTTTGGCATTTAGACGTGGTCAAACAGCCAAAATATATGTTTGATTAATTGGCTTTTAAGTTGGCTAAAAAGCCAGCTTTTTCGCCAAAAACTAGTAAGAGTAGCTTTTTTGGGTTGGCTTTTGGCTTAAATGATAAAAATTACAATTTTATCCCTAATTACATCTATTAACATTCTCATCAATTACCTTTCTCTCTCATTAAACAAAAAACCCCCAATTTACTACTAATACAATAATACACTACAGAGGTGAGGATTATTATATTTGGGGGAAGTTCAGGCGAGTCAGATCACAATTTTAGATCATTAATATCATAATATGCATGTTTATGATTTATTTTTCTAAGTTACTACTTATGTTCTATTATTCATTTTAGATTGTACTATTGAAATTATTTTAAGCATTGTTTTACATGTGAGAAAAATATCATAACTCTTTTATGAGTCGTTTACCATAGCACTAATACTAATAATTATTATTGTTGTTGTATTGTTTATAGTAAATAAAATATGTGATAATAAGTATAAAAGAGCACTACTACTACTACTACTACTACTACTACTACTACTAATAATAATAATAATAATAATAATAATAATAATAATAGTAGTAATAGTAATAATAGTAATAGTAATAATAGTAATAGTAACAGTAATAATAGTAATAATAATAATAATAATTGATTAGGGGATTTTTCCCCGCCACGTGGACCAATCACGTGCTGCCACGTGTCATCCACGTGGACCAATTAGAGTCCACCACGTGTCATCTCGTAAGAGGTCCAAAGTGGACCAATCAGGCCACGACACGTGGCAGACAAAAAGCCTGACAGGAAAGCAGCCTCTGACGGTCCAAACTCCTTGGCAAAGGCCCAATCAGTCCTAGGTTTCACAAAACCTAGTATTGGGCACATTCTCCCACATTATAAATAAGATGTTTCCCCCAAGAAACATTGATGATATGATAGTCAAATCCAAACTCCAAATGGACCATCTCACAGATCTCCGAGAAACATTCGCCACACTCAGGCGGCACCAGGTCATGCTCAATTCTAAAAAATGTGTTTTAGGTGTTGATTGTGGGAAGTTTCTCGGATTTTTGATTGATCAAAGGGGAATAGAGGCGAATCCTGAAAAAATACATGCGGTCATAGATATGCAGTCGCCCCGCACTGTTAAGGAAGTTCTAAAGTTAACAGGTTGTCTGGCGGCATTGGGGAGATTCCTCAGTCGGTCAGGCGACAAGTGCCTCTATTTCTTCCAAGCAATTAAGAAGAAGACTATGTTTGAATGGGGGGGCAGATGCAGAGGCGGCCTTCCAAAAGTTGAAAGAACACTTACACTCTTTGCCAAGACTTGTCAGCCCTCTGAGAAAGGAAGTGTTGTATATGTACTTGGTTGTCTTCGATCATGCTCTCAATGCCGTCCTCCTTGCTGAAAGAGACGACAGTCAGCTCCCTGTTTATTTCATCAGCTATGTTATAAAAAATTCTTAGTTACGGTACCCCATGGTTGAAAATTTTAGTCTGGCCCTCTTTATGGCAGTAAAGAAGTTAAAACCTTACTTCTTGGCACATCCGGTCGTGGTCTACACTGATCAACCAATCAAGCGGCCATTAACAACCATGGAATCATCCGGGCGAATGATTAAGTGGGCAATTGATATGCAAAGCCTAGAAATCACTTTTGAGCCAAGGAAAGCAGTGAAGGGGCAGGCTCTTGCCGACTTCATTGTTGAGATGACTAGGTCGGCTGGTCCAGACAATCCTGATCAAGTCTGGAAGGTATATGTGGACGGGAGCTCCACAATGAACGGTTGTGGTGCAGGCGTCATATGTCAGTCTCCTGAGGGAGACAAGTATGAGTATGCACTACGTTTTAAGTTCCAAGCTTCAAACAATGATGCAGAATATGAAGCCCTACTTGCTGGCATTCGTATGTGTAAGGCGGCAGGGGCAAAGAAGGTGGACGCCTGTTCTGATTCACAATTGATTGTTAGTCAATATCATAATGACTATGAAGCCACGCATCCGGCTATGATCAAATATTTACAGGCGGTCAAAGAAGAGGCCGAGACACTTGAAGAGTTCCATCTCAGTCAAGTGCCTAGGTCCGAGAATAACCAGGCGGATGCCTTCTCCAAATTGGCATCCTCCGCCTCTTGTGACACACCAAGATCCGTTTTCTGGGAAGTAATGGAAAAAAAGGAGCATTGAGGAAGAACCCATTGGTGTTCTTGATCGAAGCTCCACCTGGATGGATGTCATCCGGGTATATTTAACAGACGTCACCCTGTCGGATACTTACCCAGAGATGACTATAATGAAGAAGCGTGTGTCTAACTTTGAGATGCACCAAGGGGAACTCTTCAAGAAAGGTTATCTACAACCTCTTCTGAAGTGTGTTACCCCAGAAAAGGGCCGAGAGGTCCTCGAAGATTTGCACTCAGGGTTCTGCGCCTCTTATATAGGCGGCAGGACGCTTGCAAGGAAAGTCAAGCGCCAAGGCTACTTCTGGCCTACCCTAGAAGCAGACGCCATGGAGATGGTTAAAAAATGTGACAAGTGTCAAAGGTTTGGCAAGCTCATCCATCGTCCGCCCATTGATCTGACGGCTATCCATAGCCCAGTGCCATTCGCCAAATGGGGCATGGACATTCTGGGTCCCTACACGCCTGTTGCAAGCGAACGGAGATATATTTTGGTAGCAGTCAACTTTTTGATGAGATGGCAAGAAAATATGTAGATATAATTATAGAATTGCCATTAAGATAAATGTTTTATGTTTATCTAGGAGATTAATGGGCCTCCTCCCCATCCTTGGTGCGGGAGATAGGGCTGAGGAAAACTATCCGAAAAACCGAAAACCTGATTCGTAACCGTTACGAAAATTAGGGTACTTGATCTGATAACCATAACGGTTCGGGTACCCGATTCGATAATTTGTTATCGGGTATGGCTATTGTGTATCATTTTAAAATTAACGGTTACCGATCCGATCCGATAAGCAATTTTTTTGTTTTTTTATTCCTTACTTAAATCTATTTTTCCAAAATCTAAACTCTTACTTTACTTCATAATCACTTTATAATATCAATGATTAGTAATATTATTAATAATTTGGTCAAGATCATGTGGTATTGTTGTTAATTATTGTTAAATGATATCATAATAACTACATTATTAAGTTTAATTATAATTATTGGATATTTTATTGGGGTACCCGATAATCGATCCAAAAATCTGGGTACCCAAAATCCAGGTATTAGAACTTATCGGTTCGATTTATAAATATCACTTTTGGTGATATTGGTTATCGATTACTCGAATCGTTAGCGTTAACGGTACGGATACTCGACTCATCCTCACCCCTGCCGAGAGATGAGCGGTGACATTGGGCTCAATACAACTTTGTATCATCTACTCTACTCAGCCATCCACCATTTCTGAACAGTGAAGCCCAATTTACCTACCATCCACGAAATCTCCCTCGATTTCCCCAATTTTTTAATTTTTGCCTTGGTTACAAATTACAATTTCCTTGACTTGATCTGCAACAAGGTCGTTGCTATCAGCAGTTTTTTTTTTTTCACCAAATTTCTCCCCAAAATCGAAGGATTCTCAATTCCATCAATAACAATGAAGTAACAACTTTAGCTCAATTCACTTGTAATTTTCAAGGGAAAAAAAAAATGTCGAAACCCCAACAAAGAATCATCAAAACTCTTCTCAAATTAAACTTCAATGTAATTCACAATCAAACCCAGATTTCTTCTTCAATCACAAAACCCTCAATTCATCATAATGTACGTAGGTTTGCAACTAATTTATCAAATGGGTTTGCAAATTCAGCTGCTAAATCTTCCAAAACCCTCCTAAATCCTGGTTTTCCATCTTCAATATCAAGACCCATTTCTTCAAATGGTGTTTTATGCCCAAAAATTGGTTTTTTCAAGTCATTTTTGGGAGTTTATTGTAGGAATTACTCGGCTGGAAATGCTAAATTGAAGGGAATTTCTGCAAAAACATTGGGTTTTGAAAAATTGGTGTTTAACCCACTTAATATTAGGCAGTTTTCAACTAAGATTTCAGGTCTTGGGAGTAAGCTTAATGCAGGTAAATTGAACAGCAATGCTGCTAAAAAAGTGGTTGAGAAGCCTTTATCAGCTATTAGCTCGACGTTTTCGCGGTATAAGGGAGTGATTGGGCTGCAAATTGAGGGGTTTTGGAAGAGGAATTTCTTGTTCATGATGGGGGCAGGAGGTGTATTTGTTTGCATTGTACTGTGGAGGATTATGTTTGGGATTGCCAATACTTTTGTTGGATTGTCTGAGGGGATGGCTAAGTATGGATTCCTTGCTCTTTCCAGTGCCATGGTTGCTTTTGCTGTAAGCCCTTTGCATATCCTGCAGTTAAATTTGAACATTATGTTTCTTGTCTCGGTTTCGTATGATTACATTGGCTTGTTCTGTGTTGTTTTTGTGCTGGATTGCTTGTAGCACCTATGATAGTAATGTGTTCTGAACATGGTTTATGCAGAATTTTGCTCCATTTTTGTGTGGTACCCTTTTGTTCATTACGTTCACTTTGCTCATTCCCATTGCTTTTGTTTTGCTGGACTTATTGTTCTCTTGATCTGAAGGATCACTAGGGTGATAGAATTACAATAATAATACTCTAGAAGGGGGGGTTGAATAGAGTATGGTCGTTTTTCGCAAAGACTGTAATTTCAAGGTCTTGAAATCAGTTTCTAGGCGGAATAAACTGATTTCACTTTCTGGTTTCAAGGCTTTGGAAATGGCTTAAGGATTTGAAATGAACTTTGAAATGCGACAAGAAGAAAGAACGAAAAGCAGTAAATAAAAGAATAAATGACACAATGATATTTTTACGAAGTTCGACAAGAATGCCTACGTCTCCGCCTAAAGGTGTTTAACCCTTAGGATTTCAATCTATTTTATTTTCTTTCCCTTAGAGTACTAAAGTAACTAGAAGACATTCCCTCTTCTTTCCGTAATCACCCGATTACACTTTAATCACTCAATTCCTAGAAATAAAAAGACTACCCAAAATACAATGATTCGCCTTGTTCAATATCACTCTTTGATATTTCTTTTTCACTCACAAGATATACTTTTTCTTTTCTCTCAATAACAATTACAAATAAGGTAATGAATACTTAGAGAGAAAATAAAACTAAGTAAATGAAGCTTGAATAACTCTTGTATTTCGTTGTATCACTGTGTTTTCTTTTCTTGGATGAATAAAACACTTGAGCAGCTTCACACAATTTATAAGCTTCAACAAACTACTGGAGCAACGAAGAAGTCTTGGAGCCGTTTTGAAATTCGAATTGCAACGGCACTGAGCAGCACAAACAGCCGCTATTTTCTAGGCTTCAAAATCTAACTTCAAGCAGTTAGTTTGTTGAATATTTCCAGCCTATTTTGTAGATTAACAGCCTGTCAAAACAGCTCAATAAAACAGCTAAGATTATCTAAATAAAGTCTATCTTTTTGCTTAAATATATTCGGAACCTACAAAACAGCAATTTGTTAGTCAAAAGATAATTATATAAAACAGAATAGTTATCTTGAATAAGTATGACACAATATTTATCTTAAGCATAAAACAAAAAACATATAAATAATATTTATCTTAACTAAATAAGCATGAAGATAAATATTAAAGCTAGCATCACATTATCATTCGAGACATCTATAATTCTACCTTTATTCATATAAAATTAACCACATATATATTGACTTTCATCATACAAAATTATAATACTGAAACAAGGTGGAGTCTTCATGATCTCTTCTTAATCGTATCGAATTAGTCCATAAATACTAGTGTGTCTGTGGTTCGCAACAGTTCTTTCTAGTGGCTTGACTTGCTATTTAGTTAATGCTTGTTGCCGATTTCTATTTCATCGGATTGATTATAAAGATAAGGATATAGCAGAATAATTAGCCTATTTTGTGGGCTTTTGCAAAGGAGATTACTCAGATTAGGGAGCGGCTAGAAAATTTTATACAATGATTCGCCTTGTTCAATTACAATCTTTTCATAAGAACTTTTTGCCAAATTATTTGCAGTTAGAAACAACAATTATTTTATTTGATTGATTTGCATTTCTGGCTGGTCTTCTGTATTTTGCAGTAGTTAATTACTATTGCCTCCATCATGTTACATTTTTACATTTATATTGAATTTTAGGAGTATACCTGTGTTTTTCTGTTGAGTCTCTAGAGGGTGACTCAGCCTTCATCTCAATAAGATGCAGTGGCTGTTGATTGTTTGTTTAGTAACTTTACCAGAAGTTTGTATTCTAACAGTGAATTTATTGAATCTTGCTTGAGTGATTATTGTCCTGGATCCAGTATTCTTTAGAGACAGGGTGGTTTGGATACTGAACAATGTAAATTATGAGCTCTAAGATATTTCAATACAATTGCACTTGAAGTTTGCAGCTTCTTTTATCAGTATCCCTACTCATGGGTCGTGAAAGTCATGAGACTTGTGACAATCTACTAGAGCCAAAGGGGCTACCTTGTGGCTGCTAGGCTATGTACATCTGGACTTCCCTAAACCTTGCAGCTGTAGGATTGCATCGGGTTATTGTATTAAACTCAGAACTTGATTGGGAGCATCGAGCTGATAGGAAATTTAAGTGATGTACTGGAGAGTTGAGATTGTTTCCGAAATACCATAAAAGCTTTTTAATCAGAACTAAATATATGTTGTGCAGTCAGGGTGTCTGTATGATGAATAGAAAAAAGATAGTGGTTTGAAGATTTGATTCTAATTGTGCGTTTATCATAATTTGTTGATCAGACATTTTTTTTGCTGGAAAAGAATATGGCTTAAAGATTAACGCTTTGTTTTGATAGCGAATAAGGAAGGAAAGGAAGGGGAGGGAAAGAGGAGGAAGGGAAGGGAAAAGAAAGGGAGGGGGAGGTGCGCTCCATATTCCCTCCAAATCTCTCCAATTTTGTAGGGATTTTGCTTATTAAAGAGAGAGGGAAAATGGATCCCTCCCTCTCCTTTCCTTTCCCTTCCTTCCCCCAATCCTTAACCCAAACAAGAGAGTGTGTCCCCCTCCCTTTCTCTTCCCTTCTTTTCCTTCCATTTCCTTCTATCCAAACAAAGTGTAAATGTTAGTTTATGGGTTTTCCATAAATAATTGGTCACTCTTGAAAATGGTTTTGCTGTTCAACTAGCTTTCCTTTTCTTACAGTATGTTCATACTGGGTCTTAAATCTTCACATTACTCGCTTGCTGTTATGATGCCATTCACCTTACTGTAAAATTCTTTCCACCCATCTTCTCTTTTTCAGAAAATAGATAATAGAATTGACCTAAACTATATATATTATATAGCTTAAACTCATACATGTGTTTACTTCTCCAAACAGAGATAAGGAATGGATACTTTAAGGCTCCATCTCCCTTGTTTAATTCTTATCTGAAGAAGTGGTATGAAGATATTCATACCACATATCCACATGAGTTTTGACAAACTAGCTGTCAATTGCTAACCAAAAAAGGCTGAAAAGTCTACTCCGTGTCCTAATTCTCCAACTGATAGTATTTAAGATTATGTCACTAGAATAATCCTGAATTTTTCAAATGTGTTCTCTTCCTCCCTAGTATTCTTTTATGGGGATAACATTTGTGATTTGGATGAAGCTATAAATTGATATTAATGAAATTTTTTTGAATGTGAATAAGACAAGTTGAAGCTCCTGAGTCCTGACCTTGTGAATTCCGACCCAGTCTCTCATTTTTATGGGAGAGGGGGCATGGTGTTCTAAATGATGATTTTTTTGTTAAAAAGCTTTTCTCTAATATAAGCTCTATTTGTCTCTGGAATGCGTAAGACATGAGAAAATACTTACTTTCTTTAGGTAAAGAATTCTGCTTCTCGGGTCCCTTCAATTTTTTGTTGTTTCCTTATTACCATATATGATGAGCTGAACCTTAACATATAAGCCGTAAACCATGGCAAAACTTAGTTTGAGCCTTTTCAAGTATATTTTATATGCTATATGATGGAAGGAATCTATGGAACAGATTCCACCTTGTGGTTGTCTTGATTTTGGAAGCCATTGAAAGCAAAAAAAGTCAGTTGATGGATTGAGTATTCAACTTCAGAATTCAGGTTGTTATTCTGGAGATATAAACGAGTCCAAGAAGGTTAATGTAAGCTTAATTTGAAGTAGAGACATGTAGTCAAACTCTCAAAACGGTTAAGAAGGCTAGATTTTAATAGTTGTCTTCAGGTCGACCGCATCATAGGTTTGTGCTGTGGTTGGCCAGTTTTTCAATTCAATTTCTCATTTATAATGACGTATGCTCTATAGAATCGATATCATGCCTTCATTTTTAAGCTCTGGTGTAACAAAAGGTTATAGGGCTCCTGTTCAGCTAAATTTTGTCTTCTGGCTACTTATATAGAAGAGTTGGTTGTAGTGGCCTTCTTAAGGACATTATGTTATATATAGATCCCTTTGATTATGACGTGGATCTCTACTCTGTTCTTCAGCATTTTTATTGGTTTGCTTTATGGGATATATTGTGGCTAAGAAATAGGCTGAGCCTGGTTCAGGAATTCCAACCTAGCTCCTTTTTTAGTGGAATTATGATCCTTAAAATTAGGAGACTCTAGGTTCTGCTGAATGCTTCTTGTATTGTTATATTTTTGGTTATATTGTCAGTAAACACTGATTTATACTTCGTATGCAATTAGATTTGGCTACTTAATCCTAATTTGATTGACTTTTATCCATCTATATTGGTCGCTGTTTGTGTAATATCTTGATTGGGAAACTAAAGGAGAAGAATAGTATTTCCTATTGCTACTTATCTTCACCGTCAATGAGCGGTGATTCGGTGAGGTTATACTGATTGGTGACCACCTTATCCTAATAGCTAACTTTTAGAAATTGTATAATAATTTCCTACCGATTTTGACTCAAACGTGGTATTTATTAGTCGCTATGTTGTTGGACTGTGTTAACAGTTTTAAAATCCACCCAACGTCTAGATTTTTCCAGTTGAGTACTTTGGACTAGATAGTTTCTTTGGTACTGTTCGTCATCTGTTTAGAGTATGTTGCTGCTATTTAATTCTTGTAACACAGCTCTGTTTAGAACATGGAGCACACCAACAAGGATAATATGGGATGGATTGGCTGGGTCACTTATTTTATGGAATGCAGAGCCGTAAGTCTAATAATTTTGTAAATACTTTTCATCCAAAAATAAACTCCACTCTTTCCTTTATTTTCCCAATAAAACTCCATACATACTTATTTATTTATTTATTTTTATTTTTTATTTTTTAAATCTTCTCTATCTTATCAATCTTTTTCTCTTTCTTTTCTAACACCTTATTACCTTTTGTTTTCTCTCTTCACCCACTTTAAAATATCTTTATTCTACGTTAACTTTTTTTTGGTCTCCTTGTTGATCTCAAATGTAAAGATCATTTTGCTCTTATTGTTGTTTAGGAAAATTGTTTATCTACCTGACAGTAGAGTATAAACAAGGTCAACGAAACTTGTTATAAAACTATTGAACGTTTATTCCTTGTCTTCTCGTGAAACTATTGAGATAATTTGTAAGCTATAAAATTCGCTGTATTTGCTCTTGCTCCTGATTTGGATAGCGTTTAAAAAATTGGATTGATGATTCAATCTGGAATTCATTCACTGATAACTGAGTTCTGTCAACCTTTTTTTTTCTTCTTCCGTGTACCACAGTTAGATCTTGCATCTGTCTTTTCCTCATTTTTGTCTCCTTAAGAATTTGTTAATTATTGAACAAAAGCAGTGTTCTCTCCTACTCGGCTTTGTTTGCTGGCCTTATCATTTCTATTTTGTGGGTGGGAGCCTTGGAGGAGAATTATATTCTGGAATAGTAGATCAGTAGATTGTCAGTTGTGTTAATTTTGTAGCCTGTTAACCTGTGCTGTGTAGCTAAAGCTAAATTGTCTTGTCACCCATGGCACAGTCCTGCCTAAACTGATTAATTTTTATCCCTAATTTATCTTCGTTATATTTCCTTTAGGGCCTTTATCTCCGTTCAAGGTATAATATCAACCCAGATAAAGTTTATAGGATGGCCATGAAGGAGCTCAATACATCTGCCAGCATTCTTGAAGTTTTGGGTGCCCCTCTTGCTGGAACTGACTTGAGAGCATATGTGATGTCAGGAGGTGGGCTTACAATGTCCAAACTCAAACCCAGGCTGAGGAGCAAGCGTTGTTTTCTTATCTTTCCCATAAGGGGCTCTGAAAGGAAAGGTTTAGTGAGTGTTCAGGTCAAGAAGAAAGATGGCAAGGTTTGTTTCTATTATCTATGCTAGCTATACTCATCACTTAATTCTAGAGGTTAGTAATATGCTTATCATAGTTGCTTGTTCATTCAGTTACGCTTAGTCATTGTCATACACAAACACAGAATAGGGACTTAAAGTCGTTAGCTCATAACAAACAACGGTTTGTCAGTGTTCCCTGCTAGATGATTATGAAACTAGGTCATTTTTCATGTATTGCATGCATCGTATGTGTACTACAAACTGGCTGCTCTGGGATTTTTGTTAGTGTGTGTATTTTTCTTGATGACTGCCTGCTTCAAGTTCCTGAAGCCGGTAGCCTGCCTTTGTGTCTTGAAGATTTGCGTGTTTATCAGTGTTATTTGTATGGTTAGAGGTTGGAACAATTTAGTTTCCTCTTTTAGGTATGTGAAGTCTTCATTGCAACTTCTTATTAGCTTCAGAACCATAAAATTTTTTAAGCTTATCAATTACCATTGGGCTTTCTTGAAACTACTTTCAAGAGTAAGACCCTCTTTGTTCATGCTTGTAGTTTTTTTTTTTTTATTTAAGCTATAATGCTGCATTTTGCTGCGAGGAAGATACTCTTTTTGCAAACTTTTTCCTTAGACTACTTATATTTTCTTCTAACAACTTGGTTTTTTATTCTATATATTTGTATGAGATATGGGTTTTAGCAAATTGAGGTTGAGGAGTGCTGAGCAATGTAAATCAATTTGCAGTCTTATGGAGATGTGGAAGTCATAACCCCTTGAAGAAAATATTTTATCTTGGAAGTATCTTTCTGCTTGATTCATATAAGCAAATCACAGCGAGAGAATCACCCGCTGTGGATTTGCAGGGTTCAATTGTAATAAATATAATAGAAACAGTGGTGGAAGGCCGTCTTTCAATTCTGATGGGGCTTAAAGGGAAGATTCATTTGTACAAAGTATCTGTTTTGCGATCTTTTTAGTGGAAAATTTTTATGTATTCTCTTTACCAACACCTTTGATCAATGCTTCTAAATTCATTCTTCTATTACTTTCGTCCATGATTGACCCAGTCAGCTGTGATTCATATACACTACTCCGTATTTAGGTTGGTATGAGCCAAAAGATATTTACTTGTTAGACTAGAATATTTTGGTGGAATCTAAGCTGATGACTGCATGACTAAAAAGTGGGACTTTATTCATTTGGCAGTATGACGTGAAATTACTAGCTGTGGACATTCCAATGGCATCAGGACCTGATCAGCGTTTATTCTTGATTGGGGATGAAGAAGAGTACAGAATTGGCGGAGGACTGATCGGAGAGCTAAGAGATCCTGTAGTTAGGGCAATGGCTGCATCCAAAGAGTTGGAAGAGAGAGACGACATTGAGGCAGAAGAAGATGAAGAAAGAGAACTACAGGAGGCAGAGAGGAAGCACCAGGAACAGGTTGAGAAGCTTGAAAGGGATAGAACCCGGTGAATGTCAATCCTACGATAGTTCTTCACTCCCATATTCAAAGGTTTCCTTTGTGTTTTTCGCTTTTTTAGGAAGATTCCCAAGCTGTTCAACATGGGTGTCCCTTGCACTTATGCATAACTGAGTTGGGGAATGATTTCATGGCTTTTTTGGTTTGTAACGAAGACCATTTTTTAGCAGCCATAAAACTCAGGTGATACAACTGAGACAAAATAGGTGGGGTTGAAGTGTAGCTTTTCTCCTACTTTTTGAATGGAGCACATAAATTTGGATTTTTTTTTATATGCTCCTTCATTAAAGATAAGAAATAAACAATTGTTTACATTTTATTCAACATTTCACAAAGATATGATGTAGTTTTTTCTAAAAATCCATCTTCATAATTGTATCAATACCTCTTCTTGTTCAATCCAAGTGGTTTACGACAACTTTAAAATATTACTACTTTTGTTTTTCGTTACAATAAAAGATTAATTCGGATAACACACGTTCAAAGTTGGGGATTATTCCTAAACTTGTTCAACATGTTCTTGGTAGAATACAAATCATTTACAACTTACATTTCTTTCTAATTAATTAACTAACACGTGAAAGTGTTTGATTATAAGTAGTGGTAGGGGAATTTGATTTTTTCATTTCATTATTTCAACAATTCTCATACATTATGAACAATTCTCATACATTATGAAAATTTACACAAATACAATCTTTGTATGACAATAAACTAATCATTCCTATGTACTAACAAAAAAAAAATGTCAGAAGTATTTTTTAAAATATAAGTGAGCCTTGTATGCGGCTGGCTACACCATATGGTCGCTTGTAAAAGAGAAAGTAACTCTTATAACACTGATCGAGTAACCCTATAACACTTACCGAGTAACCCCTAATATACTAACCGAGTAACCTCTATAACATTGACGAAGTAACCCCTGTAAGGAAAAATCTTGCATGGACTAATTAACATTACATTAAACATAGTGACATTAATTTTAACATAGTAACCTTATTTTTAACATAGTAACCTTGACCTTTAATATTATTATGAATCTGAAGTACGACGTAACGTTGAATATAGTGACCTTAATTTTAACATAGTAACCTTTATTATTCATATTGACTAGTATATAAAAGATTTCTTAAAATAAAATAAAAAAAAAAAAAAACCCTCTTAAGCCCTTATAATACCAAAATGACTTTTATTTCAACTAGGGTGGCCTACACGCGCGATGCGCGTGAAGGGGCTAACTCTTACAGAGAAGTTGTATTTGCATCCTTCATATCATATTATTATCGCTTCATATCTTAAGGGGCAATTGTTAATTTAGAAATCTTAATTGATTTGCATGTTTCAATAATATTTCGTATAATATTTCTAGTGTGGTTTTTTTTTCTGATGAATTTTTTGTGAGCTTAGGTCAAACGGAGTAATAATATGCGAAATGTTGCAACTAAAAATGTAGAATTGTATAAACTTACGGCTTAGCCCTTCATTAATTGGAGCAAAACATATATATACAATGCTAATTCCTAGAGTTACCTTAATTAGGTTACTAGAAATTAGGAAACAATATGAAAGATAATACCAAATATTCCACAAAATATATCCCACAAAATATATCCTCAATACCCCCCTCAAGTTGGAGCACTAGGGTCATGAGTGCCCAACTTGGACAAAAGATGGTGAAACTGTGACTTCCCAAGAGCCTTCGTGAAAATGTCGGCCAATTGAGAAGTCGTAGGAACATAAGATGGAGAAATCAAGCCTTCAACAATCGCATCTCGAACAAAGTGACAATCCACTTCAATATGTTTGGTCCTCTCATGAAAGATCGGATTCTTTGCGATGTGCAAAGCAGATTGACTGTCACAAAATAACTTGATCGCCTGAGGGTGTTGCACACCCAAACTCAACAACAAACCCTTAAGCCACTTGAGCTCACAAGTGGCTGCAGACATTGCCCTATATTCGGCATCTGAAGAAGATGTCGCCACAGTTGGTTGCTTCTTAGTCTTCCAAGTGATAGGCGAATGCCCCAAAAACACCAACCAACCTGTGACAGAACGACGAGTTAGGGGACAAGCCGCCCAATCCGAATCACACCAACCTTCCAAGGTGAGATCACTAGTAGCACTCAACAAGATACCCTGACCCGGGGTACCCTTCAAATAACGAACAACACAAAGAGCTGCTTCCCAATGCTCAATGCGTGGCGCTTTCATAAACTGAGACAAGATATGAACGGAGTATGCTAAATCCGGTCTAGTTACCCCAAGGTAAATCAAACGGCCAACAAGCCTACGATACACTTCCGGATCCGCAAGAAGCTCACCTATGGCACGACCGAGCTTGTGGTTTTGCTCCATGGGAAAACCACTCGGCTTTGCCCCTAATAAACCTGCTTCAGAAATAATATCCAACGTATATTTTCGTTGACATAAAAATAAACCTGAAGCACTACGAGCAACTTCGATGCCCAAAAAATATTTCAAAGGACCTAGATCCTTCATTTTGAAACAGTCACTGAGATACACCTTGAAACCAACAAGTGCAGCGGAATGATTACCAGAAATAATAAGATCATCAACATATACTAAGACATTAATCTGAACTGTGCCTTTAGTATATGTAAAAAGAGAATAATCAGAGTAAGATTGAATGAAGTCGTACCCTTTCAAAGCCGTTGTTAGCTTTGCAAACCAACACCTCGGTGCTTGTTTCAACCCATACAAGGACTTCCTCAAGCGACACACTAATGAAGGATCTGCACCTTCAAACCCGGGAGGTAATTTCATGTATACCTCCTCAGCAAGATCACCGTGCAAGAAAGCATTATGCACATCCATTTGATGGAGTTCCCAGTTCTTTGATGCTGCAATTGCAAGAAAAGCCCGAACCGTGGTCATCTTTGCAACTGGAGCAAACGTTTCACCATAATCTATGCCTTCCTGCTGATGATTACCAAAAACGACCAAACGAGATTTAAGTCGTTCAATATCACCAGTAGAGAAATATTTTGTCTTATACACCCATTGACTCCCTAGAGCACGTTTTCCAAGAGGAAGGTGCTCTAAGGTCCAAGTGCCGTTATCCTCCAAGGCTCTAATTTCTTCCTGCATAGATTGTCTCCAACCTTCATGTTTCATGGCCTCTCTAAAAGATTTCGGATCATGACCACCAACAATAGCTGCCAGAAACTTACAATAATTCACAGAAAACTTGTCACAATTTATATAATGTGCTAAAGGATAGGGAGTACCTGAAGGAGTATTGGAAGACGGAATGGAGGGAGACGGATTTTTAGCAAAAACTGAGTGAGTCACAAAATCACGAAGACGAACCGAGGGAATTTTGTCCCGAAAACCTCGCCCCAAGGGCTGCTGATCTGCGGCCCCTGTACTGCCATTTTCATCATGACTTAAGGACTGTTGTGCTGAAGAACCTGCGCCCACAGCCTCCTCCTGCGGGTGAGCTGAAGCAAGACCTTGGTGGTCTGTCGTAGCTGCACTCGCAGGGTCATGGTCACCCAAATTTCTGCCCTCAAGTACACCATTGGGCATATCACATTCCACACTGCCATCACACTCCTCAAACTCAACAAAATCATCGTGAATAGCATATTGAGAATCAAAGTCATTAGGGTCAATGTTAACACTTTCCGGAGTAGCAAACGGAAACACATCCTCAAAAAATTTAACATCCCGAGACACAAAAAAAACTTTGGAGTCAAGGTCATACAAACGCCACCCTTTCTTCCCAAAAGGAAAGCCCACAAAAACACACTTCCGACTTCTACTAGCAAACTTATCTCCATTAGTTTTCTGATTATGAGCAAAACATAAACACCTAAAGGTACGAATGGCACCAAGCGTAGGGGGTTTATCAAATAGGATTTCGAATGGAGTTTTATTTTGTAGCAATGGAGTAGGAGTACGATTAATTAGGTGAGCCGCGACAAGTACACACTCACCCCAAAAATAAATAGGTAAGTTTGCCTGGAAACTCAAAGCTCTCCCAACAGACAAAATATGCCTATGTTTTCTCTCAACCCTCCCGTTTTGTTGCGGAGTACCCACACAAGAGGTCTGGAAAATAATACCCGTAGTGTCAAAAAAATCATGCAAACAATTAAACTCCGTACCATTATCACTTTGCACAATTTTTATGGTTTGAGAAAATTGTCTTTCCACCATAGCAACAAACATCAAGAACTTACGGAAAACCTTCGTTTTATCATTCAGTAAATAAATCCAAACGGCTCTAGAGTAATCATCAACTATTGTCAAAAAATAACGAGCACCACATGATGAAACATGTCTATACGGACCCCACAAATCACAGTGTATCTTTTCAAAAATTCTAGATGCTTTATTGTCACTCAAAGGAAAACTATCTCTGGGATGCTTAGCACGCATACATACTTCACATCCTTTATTTAAACAAGCTTTATTACTAACTGTGGGAAGCAACTTAACTACTTTCTCAGAAGGATGACCCATACGACGATGCCACAACTCCAACTCTGAATTTGCAGCGCTCACATGATGCACCGAATCCATTTTGCTAAAGTAATACAATCCGTCTCTCCTAGTCCCCGTTCCAATCAGCTCCTTCGTGTGGTCCTGTATAGCACAAATATAAGGGTTAAATTGGACAGTACAATTAAGGTCATCGTTGAGTTGCGAAACAGAAATCAAGTTACAACTCAAATTAGGGACATAGAGTACTCCGGTGAGAGTAATCTTGTCCGATAAACAAACAGAGCCAATAAGAGACGACGACACCGTGTCTCCATTGGGCAAACCAACCGGGCACTCGAAGCTTTTTGTGTCAAAAAGCCAATATTTTTCTCCGGTTACGTGATGTGTAGCTCATGTATCAATAATCCAAGAGGTGTCATCAAACTTACCACTCAAACGATTATCAGAAATTGTAGCATTACCCATCAATCCCGTAATTGCCTTCCATTGTTCACTAGAAAATAAACGACCCGAAGCAAAAGAACTTGTATCCTCCGACTTCGAGCCACCACCCGAAACTGCATTAGCCTTCACCGGACCTCCCCGACCACGACTAGCTGCGGGTGGCCCCCCCTGGCTGCCAGCGGCACCCTCCGGCCAGCCATGTTTGTCATAACATCGGTTTTCTTCATGGCCTCGTTTTTTACAGTAAGCACAAATTTTATCGGACCAACACTTCACGGTTTCATGACCCACTTTCTTACACTTGTCACACACTGGCAGCTGCCTGTCAGAACCACCGGCGCCACCTGCACGACCCCTCCCTGCAGCAGTCCGTACAGCGAACCCGAGGGCAGGAGCAGGATCC